AAAGATAATTGGGTTGTTAGAAAAATAATAATTAATTAAGGTCAAATATGAAATGTATGGGATTCCTTCTACTTAACACTATGTGATGGTAGGGGTATTTCGAAAGAAAAAAAAAAGGCGATTCAAATAATTACAAAGTTTGAAGTTAAATGAATTGAGTTGTCATGTTTTTTGGATGCCGGCAAGGGACGAGAATGGAAAATAAAGTATTGTAATTTAAATGCCCTTTCAGCTACATATAGTTAAGATAAAATTAGGGGATAAGTGAGAAAGAATAAAAATTTACTCATTAATACACAAACCCTTCTGGACCCCTTTGTAATTAGAGGTATTTAAAATATGAATAAAATGGCTTTACTATTCTTCCTCCTGCCAAATAATAGTGTAAATGTACAAACCCCACTAGCATCTATTCGCTGATGCAATATTAGTAAAATAAGTAAATGATGATATTTTGAGAAAAGTCAAGAGCTGTCGAAGACTAGTTACTTTTCACGAGCAATATGGGTAAATTTTTTTTTAAGTATGTTTATTCTCGTTTTTGTTATTACCATTAACGATATTTTTTATTATAATACTTTGTTGTGGTGTATCCATTGAGCATGAAAAACACCGAAGAAGATCGTTTGCTACATTGGACTAGCAAAATCTGGCCGGGAAGTTTAAACATAAAATTAACTAAAATAGACGAATAATAAAGCATTTCCAAAAGAAGAGTTTGAATACAATTAAAATTCTTCGCATTCGATTCTATTTGCATTTGTAGAGTATGTGAATTTCAATGTCATATTCTCTTAAGGACATTGTAATCCAATCTGAATGTTTAAGTTAAAACTTGAGACTATTTGCCTTATCCATTATTTCTGGTTCCATTTGAATGTTAGATTGAAAGCAAAACCTGTCAAAGAATAAAGTAATAAATTAAAACTTCATGAACTTCTCTCTTGTCTTATTCAATTGCGATGCCCCTTGCCAGGTGGCATTTTTTTTTTAAACAAAAATGGACTTTCTTAAATGACATAAGCTATCTTAGAATAAGTCGATTTCAAAAGATGGATATAAAACTAATTCATCTTGAAGTTTTGCCGATTTAAATAAACTATACCGTTTACTTCATTCTTAATTAAATATATTTGGTTGAATAAAATACAATATTTAAACCCAAATTTGCATCATTTAAGAAGACCCATTATTATTGGTACGATACGTTCTAATAAATTAAATAAAATTCTATCATTATTCATTCATAATTACATAGATTCGTTTAAATAAAAATTAGATAATTTAAATTACATCTAAGAGAATTTATCTTTATCGAAATTAAAACTTAATGTAAGATGAAACTTGCTGGGGAAGGTGAGACTCGTGCATAGAGGCAAAACGAAGTATCACGCGACGAATATAGAAGTCAACATTCTCTCGATTGTCCATACTTGTTTTATCGCCATATGAGGCTTGGTCATGAATAATATTGGTGAAGCCATGTGATAGGGGATCCACTTCAATCATTGCTTTTATGTAGTATTTGGACGATAATATCCACAACCACCTTACTCCTGCTAAATTAATGAAATAGACCAACGAGCTCTTAATTTCATGGCAACAAGCTGGAATGTTGGGGTGCATTTGACGCGACCTATTCAAAGAAACGTGCACGTCATTGCTATAGTTAAACTTATAATGGCTTATTTACATAGTTTTTGTAAGGGATAATGACACAAACAGTCCCTGAATTTTGACTCAATATACAATTTGGTCCATGAACTTTTAATTTGTTTATTGCAGTCCTTAAACTTTAGCCTAATGTTTAATGTGGCATTTGCACTTTTAATTTGTTCAAAGTGGTCCTTGGACTTTTGATATATGTTCAATATAGTCCCTGAACTTGATTCAATGGAAGGACTACATTGAACATTTTCATATACTTCAATAACTAAATTGAACATATACCAAAAGTTGAAGGATGACATTGAACAAATTAAAATTTAGGGACCACATTGTATATTGAATTAAAGTTTATGGACTACAATGTACAAATTAAAAGTTAAGGGACTACATTGCATATTGAGCAAAAGTTCAGGAACTGTTTGTATCATTTTCCCTTTTTGTAAAGGGTGTATTTGTTTCACGAAAAATGAGCAAGTTGAAAATTATTTTCCAAAAAACGATCGCTTATATTATTTAGAAAAATTAATGAACATAAAATTTTTACGTCACCTAAGAAAATAGTTAGGCATAGTTTGTTATTGATAATGAAAATATTTTCTAGTGACTAATTTTTCTAAACAATATAAGCAATCATTTTTCGAAAAATGTCTTTCAAATCACTCAATGAAAAGAACGCACCATAAAGCCCCGTTTGTTTTGCAAGAAATGAATATTTTAAAAAATATTTTCAAAAAAAATTATCGTTTGAAATAATTAGCTAATGAAAAATATTCTATTATTGATAATAGTTTATATCCAAATATTTTCGTAGACGATGAAAATATATTTCGTTCATTCATTTTTGTGAATGCTTCGTACAATCATTTTTAATTATTTTTAAATTATTTATTTTTTGTGAAACAAACGTACGCTTATACCAATACTAAAGGCGCCCTAGATAAAAAGATAAAAAAAATTTCAAAAACCAAAACCTACTTAGCAGATATTGGCCGACAAGATAAAGCTGACGTAGAATTGAAGAATCCTGTCCTGGTCGGTGGAAAGTGGGGGGAAAAAGTGACGTGACGAAAAAGACCGCACAGAATAACATTATTAATGCTTAAACTTTCGTTATCGTGTACTATTATCTTTGAATTTTTAATTAATTTAATTAAACCCTTAAACTCTTTTTCAATTTGAAATGACACCGATGAACTTTCAATCGATTTCATTAACTTTGTAAAACGTTTCGATAATTCTGGTGCCATTATCTGACATTGTTGACATAATCTAATCGAAATGGATTCCGATTAACAGAGTTATTTTTAATTGGAGATTAAATTAATTGTGGGTGGAGAAAATTATATAAGTAAGTAGTCAGTTTCTTCTGTGAGCCTAATTCTAAAAAAAAATATCAACTTTATTTTGAATGATAATTCTGAGTCGAACTTTTTTTGATCTCATAAAAAAATCATCAATTTTTATTCAAATTCCAAATCTGACCCGAACAATTTGAAAATTTCGTATCACAAAGGGTAAATTTGGGACTCAAGTAAAAGTTGGTGATTTTTATTAAGACAAAAAAAAAGTTCGAGTCACAATTATCACTTAAGGTAAAGTTAGTGCTTTTTTTTTTTGAATTAGTCATTCTTTTGTGCGATATTTAAATGAAACTGGAGAGAAAAAAAATTGATACATGATTCTTTAGTTAGGCGTGCCATTCACTTCAAACATTCTATATTTTTCTTTGCTTAACTAATCTAATTGACGCTTTCATTCATTTAATCTTAAAGCCCATGTGGATGGTGGGCAGCCGGAATATTGGGCCTCTCGAAGGAAGCCGAAGATCGTGGCTTACAAGGGACTTTCTAAGTTTCTGTCATTTCCTCTTCTTTTTTTTTTTTTTGCATTTCGGATTTACTGGTGATGCATATTAATTAAAGCAAAATCAATCACATCTTCCAGCCAAACATCTGTGATATTTGAAATGGTCAAAGGGTTGGGGACAAAAGAAAAGACGAGACTCGTCAAAAGGAAAAAAGAAAAGAGTGGACGCTTATATTCAAGGGTAGAACGGCATGCTTAGGAAGACAAAACAAAGACTAGTCAAAAAGACAAAGAAGGGTAGACGCTTATATTAAAGGGCAGAACGGCACGCGTAGGAAGAGAAAGAAAGAAAGGGAAAGGAGAGGAAAGAAAAATAAAAGAGAAATGAGTACATGTCATGAGGATCGTGTCAAGCCGGATTAATACCCGGTCAGGATTCAAGCTTTTTGTTCATTTAATCAGAATAATTTTAAAAATTAGGACATAAATTTGGAATCATGTGAATTTTAAACTACGAGATTCAATTTAGGAGTTGTTAAGTAGTGGAATTATATGAAAATGATAGTTTATGGCGTTATGGAGCTGTGGGGTTACAATTTAGTTGGAGTAGATTTTTAAAGTTTCGCACGCGTGTTCCGTGTTGTGGACAACTTTAAATATTTGCTTTGAGCAAACGTTTTGTTGATGTGCACGAGTCATTTTGTCAACGCTTAAACTTTATTTAGTCTATTCATAATTGAGGTGGCATTTTATTATTTTATTTTGATGTTGTTGCTCACTTATTTGATAGGATTGCAATTTTGTTGGTTCAAGTAACTTTTGTCGTTTGGTTTTAAGCTTTCATATGAGTGGTCCTTATCTTTTCTTTGAGTTTGTAAAAGTAATATAAATTAAAATATATTATGAGTTATGAAATGGCTTTTTTATTGCATAAAATCTAGATCATGCATTTACTACTCTTTGAATATCCGTGAATGGTTTGAGAGGTGTTGACACCTATTTTATAATTTACCCAAAATTAATTAAGTAAAAAATTAGGGGTCAATGTCCTTAATTACTAAAATTTTTTTTTATTCAATTGCATTGCATATAAACATAGGTACATTTTACATTATTAGAATGTCTTTTTCTTCTTTTAATTAAAATAAATTAAAAAAAAGGTTTAAAAAATAGGGGCAAAGCTGGGCCAAGGAAGGTCCAGCTCGGCTCGGCCTCCCTTTCTTTTTTTTTTCCCCTTCCCCTTTTCGCTGGGCTAGGCCCAGCTCTCTCTCCCTTTCTTTACTTTCCTTGGGCCAGCCTCTTTCCCCCTCTCTCCTTTTCCCTCTCCCTTTCCCCATGGTTGCCGTGGCCACACCACAGCCGAGGAACGGCAAAACGCTCCACAACCGTGCAGAGATTGAGCGGAGCAGAATGAAGAGCAGAGAAGAGCAGAGATTGAGCGGATGAGAAGGGGGTGAGCAGGTGGCTAGCGGCCAGTATAAAAACGAAGAGAGAGAGAAAGAAACCGGGTGGGGGGGGGGCGCGGGGTTCGGTTTTTGTGTGTGAAACCGAGAGAGAGGAGGGAGAGATACAGAGAGAGATTGAGCGGGACAGAGAGCCGGAGAACTTTTCCGGCGACCGCCACGCTCGTGGCGCGACCAACAACTAGTGGTCGTCGCCCCTCCCCCGTGCCAAGCCTCGGTAGGTTCCGGTACGCCGGTTTAGAGGTCGTTTTTCCCAAGGATCCCGGTTTGACGGCCCTAAGGCGGCTGGCCATGGCCCGACTTGTCTCGGGCTCGCCTCCAAGCCGCCGTCGCCGAGCTGGGTAGGGACAACTCTCGGCCGACGCCCCTGGTTTTCTCTCCTCGCCAGCCCCTGTTTTTCCCCTGTTTCGGGCATGCTAGCTCGCGGCCGTCCGGCTCGCACGAGCTCCGGCCCCATTCTGTCCTTCGTCTGTCTGATGTGTGTGTCGTTGTTCATGTGTTGAGAGTCCCGGCTCATGTTTGAGTCTCAGTTGAGGCAAAAATCATTCGTTTTTTAAGCGCTCACCAAGTGTTCGACAAAACGACTGAGTGAGTTCCGGTTTTGGTTCGTCCGTTTTTGGCTGGCGTCGAGTCGCCCGTGCGTGTCGTGTTCCTTTTTGGCGTCCCTATAGTGTTTTAGAGTTCCAGGCGTCGGCCACGTCCCAGCCACCGCCGTTGTTTCGTTTGGAAGTTGGCCGGGGATGCCCCAGCCGGCGCCGTCAAAGCTGGTTGGGGAACAGCGGCCCAGGTGGAGGCCGGGCCTCGGTCTGGGCTGGCCGGAGCGACGCCGGAGCAGGGCATTGCCAGGCCGAGACGAGTGGCGTCTCGGCCGTCTCTGTCGAGTCCCCCGGAGCAGGGGACTCAGGGGGGAGTCGGGTCTGTGTGGGGAGTGCAGAGTTGGGTCGGACCCGGGTTGGGCGAAAATAGGTTTGGGCTAGGTTTTTTTTATATTTTATTTACACCCTACCGGGCCCTTACCGGATCCAATCCGGTTTAGGACCCGGGTCAACGCCTTTGGATCGTGTCCGTTGACACGGGTCGGTTCTGACCCGGCTCTGGATCTGCTGCCCCCACCCGACCCGGTCGAATATTATATTAATAATTTTTTTTAAAAAAAAATTAATTTTAAAATTATGAAATAGTTTATAAATTAATATTTTTGAATATTTTTCTAAATTACTTGATTAATGATCATGTTTAAATCGGATAAGTCTAGTATTTTGCGTGTTATTTTTATTATTGTTGTATTATAATTATATATATTGTTTCTAATTAGAATATAATTGCATAAATTGTCATGTTTTGAAATTTGTTGTCTTAGTTAGGATTAGAACCTTAGGCAGCATATTTATCTTGACTACTAATCGTTAATGATTGTGCACTCGCTTGATCACCACACATGTTAGGAGATAGGTCCTAAAATCAATCCAAACTGCCTGATAAATATTTTCTAAAATGAACAAGATGAAAGGTATCGAAAGGGCACTACCCACTCAACTAATGTAATCAAGTCCCCGAATTCATTTAATTTTTAGTTCGTAGGAGTAAGGTGATTCTCCCGTCACTTTATTTGGGTTTCTAATCGACGCACCCTAAATTGATTAGTGGCGACTTCTTGATAAAAATCACTTGCAGATTCAAAACATAAATCACAACTCACGATATGGTATGGGCTTGGGAGAGCCCAATTTAAGTCATAGATCTAGACTTAGCGCGTACCAGGCTACGCCACATTTTCCCTCTCCAAAGAAAAATTTGACGGGTCGCGACAAGAGGCGTTTGATGAAAGGTATTGGGAAAGGTTATATGTATTGATTTCCAAATTTGGTTTTTAAAATGAATTTTGAAATGATTTGAGAAATGCTTTACGAAATGTATTCTGACTGAGGAACTGAGTTGTGAAAGGTTATCTGGTTTGATTTGTAAAATGTATTTTAGTTTATGAGATGAATTGTGGATTTGATTTCTAGTATTGGAGAATAAATGTTTGATGCTTATTATCATTGTGAATCCGATTGGGATTTTCTGGAATGCATACTGGTTATAGGTTATCCTTCTGGGTCGAACCACCGGCTCATAATAGGTGAGGACCTTGCTTTTGGGGGAATCTTGGTCGCTTTGCCACTAGGCATTATGTTGTGACCATATTTGGATATCGAGCAATAGATTGGTTAATGAAATGGACTATTGACGTGTAATTTGATATAGATTGATAAATATACTTGACAATTGATGTTTGAATTGTGATGGTGGGTTAAATGAGTATTTCTTGTTTGTATAAAACTTTGTTGAAATGAAACAACTCATATTTGATTTGGTACGTATATTATTATTTTGGGTTTTGATTATGAGATTCTAGTATTACTAATTATAAGTGTATAGTGAATGTTCGATTTGCTTATAAAAGATGTATTACCCACCGGGCTGCAATTGTTAATACCATTCATCTTAAATGTTTTTTAGGCTCCTTGGTTAGCAGGGCAAGAGTGCTATCAACAGGGAACTTTTGATAGTGGGATTTTTGGATTTGAGTTTCATTAGTTGTATATTTTTTGAGTTGTTTATGGCAGAGATGAGTTTGCTGGGTTTAGTTGTTGGTTGGAGATATATGAATTTATTTTTTAGATTATAGAAACTCTGATATTGAAACTAACTTGTTGGTTTATCAAATATATATGTATATTATATATTGAAACCAACAAGAATATTGATAACAAATGGGTGGTTTGTGTTTGAGGTTTTGTTCTTTGGTGGAAAGACAGTTGTGTTATTCTCATATTCTTGCTGGAGTTGGGCGTGACGATATCAACGACAATCACTCTGTAGATGCTAAGTAAGGATGCATTTATTTCACTGAAGACTTCATGATAAAGGAAAATACTTTCCATGGAAATCATTTTCAAGAAAAATAGTTAGTTTTCATTTGTTTGATGGTTTTTTTTTTGTTGAATTTTGTTTGGTGATTTAGGGAAAGTGATTTCTTTGCTAGAAATGGGAAGTCATTTTCTCCCAATCTAAGCTTGTTACTTTCAGTCTATGGAAAACGTTTTCTCTAGATTGATTAGTTTCCGTTATCTAAAGACCGAAAAGTCGGACAACAATTTCTCAAAAATAATTTTTCTTCAAATGAACGGACCGTAAGATTATTATATTAGTTGTTTTGTCACGACGAATGAACGCGGATCACTCCTTCCAAAATTAATTTCGTACATCTAGCTGCTCTAAAATGAGAGGTGCAAGGACGCGGGAAATTGAAAATAGAGAGCTTGTTGGGCCATCGAAGGCCCAATTCAGCCCCTCGGTTCATCTAGTTGAACAAAAGAGAAGAAAAGAATGAGCTTCTCTTCTCCTTTGCGCAACCGAAAGAAACTTAAAGAAAGACGAAAAGAAGGCAGGAGGGATGCGGTTGAAAATCTGGAGTAATGCTAGAAAATGCCTTTTGCAAGTGATTTGGTTAGCGTTTCAAGAAGCCTTAACCCTGCTACAAGTTAGTTCAATGTTTGGAGTTCAAGTTTAGAAACCCCAGCCGGTGACGCTTCGGCCTAGTCCAAGCTATCCAATGGTAACAATTAGATCCCTTTCATCCCTAGGAACGTGTAGAATTTCAAGAATCACGATTTGGACTTTAATTATAAGATATTTTGGTTTTCGAAGTTCTCGGAAACTACTATAATAGTAAGGTCTGATTGCCACTGACAATGTTCCGTGGAGTATTTTGTCCGCCGACCAGATTTTGAGGTCGGGGGAGCTTTGGATCTTGTAGTCCTCCGAAATTCTTTATACATAGAGTTCACTTGAAAAGAAATTCGGTAAAGAGAGATATGACGAGCCAAAGTTTGCTGCGCCAAGTTTGGTACTTGTGTGGACGATCTGCCAAAAATAGCGTCACCAAATAGAGTCTTAATCGAGTTAATTTGCGTGTAAGTTTGACATTTAGTTGATATTTGTTTGGTAAGATTTTGAGGCTTTCTGAACGGTGCAACTGTCACGCCCCGCACCCTACGAGCGCGCGATTATCCCGCGATGGTCGATCATTGAACGCGACGTCCCAGGACGCGTCGCCGACCCAACCCAAACATCAGAGATTAGGCATGCGCGGAAGCAAATAGAAACACCCCGGACAATTAATAATGACAAGGGGTAACAATAGCACAAAACAATAACTGTAATTCCTACACTTGGCAAATACATACAATGCTCATCAAAAGGGACAATGGTTCGCGAACTTAACTCCTCTACAAAAGGGGAAACTCAAAATACGGGACACTCGACCCGTCCTCGATCTCCGAGATACCCTTGCAGCGTCTCCCATCACTCACGGTCGCGGATCTGAAATGGTTATATAATAACCGTGAGAACGAGTCTCAATAAGCAACCCCCTATACCCCACGTAGGCCAATGCGTACCCAGACAAGTCGTACATGCAAACTACCCCATAACATATAGAGTTCACATCATTATACTTACCTTGCCCTCGAATCACGAGCCAACCCTGCATATTAGTCCAAACATGACAATGCAAGAACAGTTCATCATCATATCACGATCACCCTAAGACACGCAATCTCACTCGCATTTAACCAGCCCACCAAGCAACCACACGTTCAACCGGTCAATTAAATCACACGCTCAACCACCAAACCGCCACACGCTCAACCACCCAATTCACCACACGCTCAACCAGCCAATTCAATCACACTCAAATCACATGCGTGTCCGAACATCTTTCTCACAACTCGCGCCACTGCGCCTCAAATTCATTCTCACAGGCACACAAGCCTCACAATTCGATTAATTCCAATGGCCGCCGTCAACACGTCCCAAGCCATACCATTCAATCAATTCCAGTGGCCGCCGTCAACACGTCCCAAGCCACACTTTCCTTTCACGGACCGCCGTCAACACGTCCCAAGTCCGTAGCCCTTCGATCAATCCGGGCTCAAATTCCAATGACCGACGTAAACACGTCCCGGTCCAACACACCTTTAACGGGCCACCGTCAACACGTCTCAAGCCCGAATCCATTTGGCACATCGGCCATTCATGCCTTCACACGGACCGCCGTCAACACGTCCCAAGTCCGTAGCCCTCCGATCAATCCGGGCTTAAAATCGACAGGCAAGCACACGCCAATCAATTAAATCAATTTCACGCCAATTGCATCAAACAACCCATACTCACAACTCAGTCCAATTCACAATTCGCCACCTCAGTCCACAAACCCGACGTTCAAGTCGGCCACACACCATTACCCGAGTCAAGCATATCATTTAATCTAATTTAAATAGCGTAATTGTAACATAATATAATTAAATTAAAACACGCCCTAGCCGTTCTAAACCCGAGACAAGTCAATAAAGTACCCAAAATACTAGGTAGGGTTTAGGAAGTCACTTACTAGATTTTGGCCCGGGAAAAGTCGGCTCGGGCCTAAAATGGCCCGAGTGAACAGTGTCTCACTCGGCGCGGGCGAGGGCGCGACGGGCGCGGGGCTCGGCCACGGCGCTCGGCCATGGGCACGGCCCTCGGCCACGGGCACAAGGCTCGGTCACGGGCTCGGCCATGGCGCGGGCGCGGGCAACTGGCGCGCAGCGAGCGCGCGGCGGCGAGCGCGCGGCGAGGCACGGGCACGGGCAATGGCTGGTCGGCTGGTCGGCTGGGCTTGCTTCGGCAGCTGGCGGTGGCGGCGACGCGGCGGCGAGCAGGGCGGCTCTCCGACGACCAGCTCGGAGGGAGAGAAGAGAGTCGGCCGGAGTGGGGTGGCGAGGGAGAGAGAGAGCTGGGGCGGTGAGGGCTCGGAGCCGGCGATGCTCGGGCGGCATGGCGGTGGTCGGTGGCAGAAGGGACGCCGGGTGGTGGTGGACGAGGTAGCGACGGAGGCAGGCAGCGGCGAGCTGCTCCCCGACGACGATGGGAACGAAGGAAGAAGAAGAGGAAGGTGGCCGAGGCGGGTGGCGCGGTGGGGCGTTCGGCGGCGGCGGCGACGGACGCTCGAGGCGTCGGGGCGATCTTTGGGGAGCCGGGCTGGGCATGGCCGGGACTCGTCGAGCACGGCGGCGAGCCGAGCTCGCGCGCTCGGGAGGGGAGGAAGGCAGCGTCGGGGCGGCTAGGCGGAGGTGGCGGTCGGATGGTGTGCGGTGGTGACGAGCGACGGAGGTCGGTCCCGGCGAGCGGCGATTGGCGAGCCGGGTCGGCGGCCAGGCGGAGCGGGGGCCACACGCAGCTCGTCGGGGAGGAAGAAAGAAGCGAAGAAGAAGAGCAGAAGCGAAGAGAAGGAAGAAGAAAGAGAAGAAGAAGGAAGAGGAGAGAGAGAGAGAGAGGGTGTGTGTCAGGGGGTGGGTCTGCATGGGCGTGGGCTGAGGGGACGTTTGCCTGGGGAAGACGTGCGCGGCCAGAGGGGGAAAAGAGAGGGAGAAAGAAGGAGAGAGAGAGAGCGTGCGCGGCGGAGGAGAGAGGAGAGAGAAAGAGAGAGAAAAAGTTAATATTTATCCTCGAGCGCGAACCAACGGACACGGTTCAAACTAAATATCGATTTAACGGTCACGATTCAAATATTAAATGCGATCCGATGACCCAAATTCAAAACCGAAAGCGATTTACCGGTCCAAAATAAGCCTCGCATATAAAAAGGGACAAAGGCCGAATTAATTAAATCAAACTATAGCGAGGGGGTCTACTAGTCCAAATTCGCACCCGGTCAAAAACTCCCATTTTTCCATTATTCCCGACAATCTCAACGCCGGCTACGATAATATTGACACCGTCCAATTTATTTCGTCCCGAAACTCCCGAAAATCAACGCCAAGTTCGAGGTCTAAATAACGGCCAAATTCGATCGAATGCGATTCTAGCGAAATCTCAAGATTTAAAAATAATAACCGGGAGTGATCAGTTCCCGGGCGAGATTTTTACTATAAGCGCACTGACGAAATACCCGTTTTATAAATCCCAAAAATGGGCCAAAATTCGGAATGTCACAGCAACCTTCGGTTTCACTTTTGGCTTGTGCCAATGGTCTTTTTATCGCTTGTGAATTTCAACATATCATATCTTGAAAATTTAGCATATATTATTAGGGTTAATATTATGGAAAACCCTAAACTAATACACCTGCGACAAATTTACCCAAAATTAATTTTTTGACCATAAAAAATTCTAAACTGGTATACCCGTGGCAAATTTATCTCAAAGTAATTTTTTTACCACCAAAAACCCTAAATAGGTACATTTGTGACAAATTTTCCCTCCGTTAGTTTCCGTTAAATTTAATTAATATCACAAAAAATCACAATTTGGTACGTCTGTGACAAACAGAAGGTAAAATCCAAAATTGGTACATCCGTCAACTGCCGCGTGTCATTTAACAAAGCAATTTGATAGTTAAATTTAACGGAAACTAATGGAGGGTAAATTTGTCACACGTGTACCAGTTTGGGATTTTTGGCCGTTAAAAAATTAATTTAGGATAAATTTGTCACAAGTATATCAGTTTGGGGTTTTTTGTGATATTAATCCCATATATTATAATATAAGATACACGCGGCATGACATGGTATGTGAAAAGAAAGTGAAAGTATTCATAGCATTTCTTTAACAAAATTCGGATAGGATATTGACTCCCTTTTCATTAGTGGGATGCCCATTGTGATTTGGGTTGCCTTACACATTTAAAGCTTTAAGAACTTGAACTTAGTTTGATGATTGATTTTTGAAATGGAATAATAAAAAGAAATGCTCTACGAAAGTGTTTTATGATTTGACTCATGAACTCTACTCTAAAAGTGAGTGGTGATCGTTCCTATGATAAACGGAAAGTGATATTATTGGACTTTGTGCCCTTGTTATTACGTGGAATCCTGAGTTGGGGTTCTTCGTACTTTGTATACATATTTGGAGGCCTAATTCCAAAAAAAACCCCAAACTTTACACTTTGTCCCAATTATACCATAAACTTTTTTTTGTCTCAAGAAAAACCTCAAACTTTTCTCTGAGTCCCAAATCTACCTTACCGTTATAACTCCGTCCAATTAACGTCGGAAAAAAAAAAAAAACAGAACAGCAGCTGCGGCGTGGCCAAGCCTTCGCCGGTGGCCGCCGACCCCAGGCGAGGCCTCGCCTGGGCCTCCCGAAGGCCGGCGACCCTCGCCGGAGGGATCGCAGCCCCGATCCCGGGCGGGTCGCGCCCTCCCCGGATCGGGGCCTACTGTGCCCTCGCCGGGCGACTCCGCCCCGGGCCGGCGAGGGTCGCCGGCCTTCGGGAAGGCCAAAGGGCGAGGGCCGCCGACCCCGGCGAGTCGCCGGCGAGGGCCGCGAGCCCCGATCCGGGAGGGCGCGACCCTGCGCCCCAGATCGGGGCCGCAGGCCCTCGCCGGCGACTCGCCCGGGGCCGGCGAGGGTCGCCGCTCCTTCCCGGCGGCTATGGCGGCGGCCACCGGCGAAGGCTTGGCCACGCCGCAACTGCTGTTCTATTTTTTTTTTTTCTGACGTTAATTGGACAGAGTTATAACGGTAGGGTAGATTTGGGACTCGGAGAAAAGTTTGAGGTTTTTCTTGAGACAAAAAAAAGTTCAGGGTATAATTGGGACAAAGTGTAAAGTTTGGGGTTTTTTTTGGAATTAGGCCCATATTTGGAGGCAAAAGGACATCAGAAATGCCATAAGTTGTGTACGGAGGACACTTTGGTGCCATAACTTTTTTTCGGATCACTTTGGTGCCAAATCGGAGGAAAAGAGATCACTTAAGTGTCAATTTGACCGGAAATCCGACGTGACATTTTTTTATTAATTTCTGATGCCGACGTGGCTCGCCAGAGGATGAGTCAGCGTGTATAGTCAGCATTTTTTATTTTAAATAATTTTTTTCCTTTTTTTTTCCTTTTTCCTTTCCTTTCTTTTTTTTTTCTCCCCTCGCCGGTGGTCGGCTCGGCCGCCGGTGGTCGGCCCGGCCACCGGCGAAGCCCGGGAAGGGCTGGGCGAGGCGGCCTTCCCTATGGCGGCGAGGGCGGCCTCGCCAGATCCGGGCGAGGCGACCCTCGCCGGCGACGGCGAGGCCGCCTCGCCGGCGGCCGGCGAGGGTCGCTCGCCCGGATCCGGCGAGGCCGCCCTCGTCGACCACCGGGCGAGGCAACCCTTGCCCATGGCTTGCGAGGGGCGGCCTCGCCCATATTTGGGCGAGGCGACCCTCGCCCATGGCCGGCGAGGGGCGGCCTTGCTAGTCGCCGGCGAGGGTCGCCTCGCCCAGATCTGGTGAGGCCGCTCCTCGCCGGCCATGGGCGAGGCGTGGGGTGGGGTGGCCTTGCTAGATCTGGACGAGGGGCGGCCTCGCCCAGATCTGGTGAGGTCGCCCCTCGCCGGCCACTGGCGAGGCGACCCTCGCCTATGGCCGGCGAGGGGTGGCCTCGCCAGATTTGGGCGAGGCGACCCTCGCCCATGGCTGGTGAGGGGCGGGCTCGCCAGTTGCCGGCGAGGGTCACCTCGCCCAGATCAGGCGAGGCCGGCCCTCACCCATGGCCGGCGAGGGGCGGCCTCGCCTGTCGCCGGCGAGGGTCGCCTTGCTCAGATCTGGCGAGGCTGTCCCTCGCTGGCCATGGGCAAGGCCGCCCTCGCCCAGCCCTTCCCGGGCCCGGCCACCGGCAACCGGCCGGCGATGAGAGAAAAGAAAAAAAAGAAAAGAAAGGAAAAAGGAACGAAGAGGAAAAAAAAAGGAAAAAAATTATTTAAAATAAAAAATGCTGACTGTACACGCTGACTCATCCTCCGGCGAGCCACGTCGGCGTCAGAAATTAATAAAAAATGCCACGTTGGATTTTCGGCCAAATTGGCACTTAATTGATCTCTTTTCCTCCGACTTGGCGTCAAAGTGATCCGAAAAAAAGTTATGGCACCAAAGTGTCCTCCGTACACAACTTATGGCACTTCTGGTGTCCTTTTGCCCATATTTGGATATTGCTTTCTCAGGATATCCTTCGTGGGTTGAGCTACTGACTAATAATAAGTAGACAACTTAGTTGTGAGCCTTGCCACAACGATAAATGAGGTCGAAGTGTATGACATTGCGTGAGAGATTAGCCAATTGAACCACATTCTCTGGTGTGTTAGGATTAGGGATATGCTCACTAAAAGTCATAAAACTTGTTACGAAAGTGCAATTTAGTCCTAAACTTACAAAAAGTGCAATTAAGTTCTATAACTTGTCAAATTTATTCAAATGAGTCCTAAAGTTAACACTGTCAAACTAACTAACGGAAAATACTGACGTGGTTTATTTTAATATTTTATCTCTCCTACGTGGCGATGACGTGGCTAAAGTATGAAACATAAGATTAAAACAATGTCGTTTTGGCCCAAAATTGATTTTTAATACTAATTTTATTTAAATTAAATTTAAGAAATAAGCAAAAATTTTAAAAAATTTAATAAAAAGGTGGAGGAGGAAGCGCTCCCTCCCCGCCGCTGCTCCACCATCACCGAGAGGGGTCGGCGAGGGTGGGGGGGATGGCAAGCGGGGGTTGCCGGGCCCCGGCTAGGGGTCAGCAACCCTCGCTGACACCCTCCCTGCCGCCGTCGCCCCACCTGTCCTCCTCCTCCACTTTTTTTTAAGCTTATTTTTAAATTCAATTTAAATAAAAATAATATTAAAATTATAATAATAAGCCACGTCATCGCTACATAGGATATAAAAAATAATAAAAAAAGCCATGTAAGCATTTTCCGTCAGCCAAATTGGATGGCATTAACTTTAGGACTCGATTGAACCAATTTAACAAGTTTTACGACTTTATTGCACTTTTTGTAAGTTTTATGACTCAATTGCACTTCCGTGACAAGTTTTAGGACTTATAGTAAACATATCCTTTAGGGTTAATACCACAAAAAACTCCAAACTGGTAAACCTGTGATAAATTTACTCAAAAATAATTTTTTTACCGCAAAAAATCCCAAACTGGTACATTTGTGATAAATTTACTCTCTATTAGTTTTCGTTACATTGGATTAATACTACAAAAAATCACAAACCGGTGCACATGTGAGAAACGGAGGGTAAAACCCTAAACTGATACATCTGTCAACTGTCACATGTAATTCAACTCAGTAATTTGACGATAAAATTTAACAAAAATTAACGGAGGGTAAATTTGTCACAAGTGTACTAGTTCGGAGTTTTTTGTGGTAAAAAAAGTTTGAGATTTTTTATGATCAAAAAATTAATTCAAAGTAAATTTATCACATACATACTAATTTGTGATTTTTCATGATGTTAACCATTTTCGATTGTGATTTGGGTTGTCCTACACATTTAAAGCTGTGTGAACTGAGTTTGATGATTGCTTTTTGAAATGGATTGAAAACAAGAAATGCTCCATGAAAGTGTCATACGATATGACTCGTGAACTCCTTTTTAAAAGTGAATTGTGATGGTTCGCATGGTTGATGGAAAGTGGTATTATTGAACTTTGTGCACTCGTCACTACGTGGAATCCTAAGTTGGGGTAGTTCGTATTTTGTATACATGCTAGTATTGCTTTTTTAGGATGTCCTGTGTGGGTTGAGCCACTCGCTAATAATAAGTGGAGACATGTACTAAGGCGGGAACTTAGTTGTGAGCCTCGCCACGGCGATAAATGAGGTCGAAGTGTATGACATCGGGCGAGAGATTAGCCAATTGAACTGCATTCTTTGGTGTATTATGTTAAATATCATGTTGCGAACAGATATTTATATTGAGCCGCGGTTCATTCGCTCCTTTCTTTTAACATTTCAGCTTCCAAATCCTTTGACGCTTAGGAGGAGTGGCCCGAATTTTTGGGTTATACGATTTGGGTATTAGCTTTGGCCCAAGGTGTCGATATCTTTGGTATAGTGTTTCTTTTCTAAGATAGTGTGGTTTGCGGTTAGCGGTTATGTTTTCGTATTGATATTGTACTATGACACCTTTATAACCAGCTTTTGTTGCCCTTTTGTTACGTATGATGCCCTGAGGCTTCATTCTACTCTCAATGGAGACCGTCATGTCATCCCTTTTTCCTTTTTCACGAGACAATCATAAAAGTCCCAATGATGCATTTGAGTTCTAAACTTTTATTTGATGGGTTAAAATCATAAAACTTGTAATGGTCATTCATTTTAGATCATTTAGTCAGCTCTGTTAGATTTTAGTGGATGAAAAATCCACATAATATATAAACTTCTTTAACGGTGCCCGTGTGGCATTTTTAGTCCACTTAAAAGTGACGGAGTCAAAAGAAAGACTCTAGTGCATTGAAATTACAAGTTTTAGGATTTGAAGCGTGTCATCGTGACAAATTTTAGGACTTAGCTTGTAATTGCACATATTTTTAAAGACCCAAAGAATGCAGTAAAGGAAGTCGCATATAAAGTGGTATGCAAACTTTCAATATATTCACAAATGCTCTATCAAGAGAGATCCCAGGCTTTGCCTCCTCTCTTACTGAACTTGCTTAGCTTACCAAAAAACATAACCACGATGATGATTAACTTTCCGGTCTTACTCCACCTTCCTACAAAACCGTACAATGCGTCTTTACAGGAACCATCCGCTTTGAGCCGACGGTCGCAGCTATAACCGGTAGAGAATCCCACGTTCCCGTATGCGCTGCGGACATCCATCCAACGCGGAATCAGTACAGCCAAAAGATGCTTAAAAACCATGAAACGTGTCGGGGGCAATTCCATGTGATGTTCATTTGCACATAAGATCAAAGAAGGGGCAATGCAAGCGGAGTTCATACCTTATCACTTCTATCGCGATGTTCAGCACGCTGAAATTGAGGGGGTCGTCGGCCATCGCTCGTCGCTCGGAAATGCAGATGCCGACTATGCAGATGACTAGGTAAGAGAGCTGAGAAAGCGTGAAGCACCCTTCAAGAGTTCTGCTTTGTTGACGGATGGCATTTCCAGTTGGGCGTCCCAAGACAACCTTCTGATGGTACTTCTCTGGCGCAAAAGATGTGTATGGCGGGAGGTACCTGCGATTACAAGAGGCCTGCATCAGAGCACAAAGAGAGAGAGAACGGTGGATGCAAAACCCAATTCCCAGATAATTGCAACCCAGTTCGAGTATCGAGACATCATCAGTTCCTGACACAACTGCAGTAAGTAGTTGACTAAACAAAGGGATTTCCTGACCTTCAGTTAAGCATCTAATTACGGTCAAGCAATCTGATTGTACTTCCATATGTGTTTTCTTTCTAGAGAGCATTGATCGTATCGCATACGGGTGATCAGTGGCAATCCGGTTCCCTCCCAGAAATTGAAAATCGGACTAGAGGAATCGATTCTCCATTTTTGGAATCGGGAACCGGACCATTTGGTCCTCGAACCGTACCAGACCAAACCCATAGAAGCAGACCAAGTATTTCATTTAGAAAAAAAAAGTCTAGTCTAGATGGGTGGTTCTATCCATGAAATCGGAAACCGAACCAAAATTCACCTGTTCCAAAAAATTGGAACCCGAAACCGGACCGGTGCTCTCGGGAACCGCCCAGAATAGGCCAATTCGATCTGATTTGGACGGTTCTTTTTGCTCACCCCTAGTACTATCGCATGGTAAAGAGCAAGGGTATCGGTTTTGATGGACCTCGCCCGAACCCATCCTCGCAGGACCATCGATGGTCTAGACAAAGAACTGAAGATGGCAACTTCGAACTTTCCTTCTTGAAACGATTGTAGATCTTGAGAGGGACTTTAGTCAAAGGTCCGAACCAAGTTCCTGGCAGTTTCTGAGGAAGCCGCGTTGAAGTTTCAAGAGGAAGCCTGAAGGGCCGAAGTAGCATCACGATTCTTCTTGTGGACCCTATTATCTGCAGACACGTAGTCTTGGATTCGATTTACAAATTTAGCCTCATTTTTGTAGAATTTTATCTGAAAGTTGCTTTGTAGTTCACAAGAACTATTTGATGTGGAACCCACACGAGAACTACTTAATCCAACGGTTCATATAATATTGGGCTTACATAATTCGGGTGCAGTTAAAGGTTTTATCGAGAGCGAGGGAACGATTGATTACATTCCATCATGAGCTCTTGGTTACATTTCTCAACATAAGCGGCTCTTGTGCCGACATGCATTTTATAGGTACAATAGGTAGGAGTATGCAAAGGAATCAGGAATCGCTCAGACTGTCCGGAACCGGACCGGACCGGACCAGACCGGCTTTGAATCGGCGATTCCTAAGAGGACCGGTTCGGTTCCCCTTGGAACCGTTGAGCAGGACTCTATATATATGTTTAAAAAAACGAATCTTACCCTCAATTATAACTTCCTAGAAAATTCAGAAAGAGCTTGTGTCAATTGAAATAGTGAGGCCTTCTTTGGTATATTCTTCAAGATTTATGGACCGATAAAACCAGATGAGCATCAAATGTCAATTGAAATACACAATTATTCACTTATATACCTTTTTCCTTGCAAAAAAGTACCTACATAGAAACTAAATTAATCATAGTATTGATTGATGAATGCAATTTTGTAGGGATTGGGGACCGGCTCTATGGACCCACCCGGGAACTGGACCGGACCGGCGGTACGGTTTTTGGGTGGATCTATGAAACTAACAGGCTATTCCCGATTTCAATTTTTCAGAACCGGTCCTATAGCAAGTAGTAATTTTAGATATTCTTAAGATTGGTCGACAAAGTTAAATATAGAAAGTGACGGTGGAGAGCTGTGAGTCTTTAAACACAAAGTCCAAATTCAGCTCTAGATTATAATTTGCCACGTCCTCTAGCATATTAACTTTTTCTTTACCAAAATTACTTTATATTCTGCCACCGCCACACCATCTTAGACAGTCTAACTTTTTCTGTCATGAGTAGAATTTTCCTTTTATCTCTGAGTGCTTTCCTTGTGATTTTAGCAGATCATTTAGGACCATGAAACTTTTGGAGAGGAAAAGAGAGACTCACATCATCACGAGAAACAGGACCAGGACCGCAGGAGAGACCTTGGAGATGTCGAACACACTTTCCCCTGCATGCCTGGAGTTCACAACTTGGAACAAAGAGCACAGCAGCTTCTGGTACCGGCTCAACCCGCTCATGATCCCGGATCTCCACTCCAACCCACAAAACAGCACCAACTGTATCGTCACGAACCCGAGCGCCGTGAGACATATGTAACGGGACCTTACGCTCCCGATCAAATGGAAGTACCCCACTTCCCTGCCGTTCCTCAACGCGTAACCAAACTCCTTCCTCTTCACCGATGCCTTCTCGAGTGCCCAGACAGCCACATGCAGGCACGGCGCGTACAGCGTGTTCCCGGCAAGCACTTGGGGGATCAGGATCAGCAGGAGGACTGGGCTCTTCCGGAAGGCCGCCATGCCCTCGTTGATGGGCACGAACCCACAGTTGGCAAATGTGGACACCGTCGTGAAAAAGCCGAACAAGTCTGCTCGCAGCCCCTTGCCCTCGAGCACTTGTTTAGCATCTCGATCCAGATATACGTACAGCATGATCAGGCCCGACCCGAGCACGTGGAAGAGGAGTATATAGCCAAGAACGATCTGGCTCAGGCATGTCGCCGTGTCGTACTTCAGCTTGTTGGACATATCGGGGTTGCGAACTGATACGGCCTTCGCTTCATTGTGCTGGTTTGAGTCGATTTTCTGTGCAGAGCTTGGGATGCCCAACTCGATGCTGTCGACGAACCCGCTTGGACCGTTGACTTGGTCATCGATTCTGGACTGTTTGAGTAGCTTCAATCTTAACAGTTGAAGTTCGAGCAGTGAAGTGAAGACTTCACCGCTAAGTAACATCAAGACAATCATGACCAGGAGCTGAGCCCCCGAGAGCTCCTCCATTTCCAACGTGGACATGCTCGCAGCCGTTGTCGCCGATACCGAGGTGAAGAAGACGTCCAACTCCCGGTGCCTCAGCTCAGAGCCATCTCGTGCGGTGGCCTTCAGAGCGATATAGCCCGCCAGGGAGACGGCGAGGTAGTAGCTGAGCTGAATCCAGAAAGGGTGGACGTGGAAGAGCAAGAAGCGAGAGAGCGACGAGATCGAATCTCGGCATAGTCGGAGGAGTCGAGCCGCTTTGGGTCTTATGCTGTTGCAGAATTGGGAGACCATGTAATGGCAGAAATGAAGCAGCTTCTTCATGTTGGACATGGCGGAGGAATTCGTGAAGTGATTTTGGCGAGAAATGAGATTGTGCGCTTGCCGAGCATGTTGCGTTGCGGAACCAAATCAAAGGTTAAGCGTGTGCGAGAGATCTGTGTAGACTCCGTGTCAGCCCGTGGACCCAGGGTTCAACGACCTGGTGTCGGAAGGTATATTTTGTTGTCCTTTCGGAATCATTTTTACAAATTAGTTTACCAAAAGCCTCTCTTTCTTACTTCCACCCAAATTTCAATTTTGCATTCCAATATGAAAATACCACTTCATATCTTAGTCCATAAACTACATAGCCAAAATTCCAAAATTGCCTGAAAACTCTTTTTAACACCTAAAACACGGAAAATTATCCAAAAAATCTTAAACCTATTACACTTTTGCTAATTAAGTTCCAAGCCATTTAGTTTTACCAATTGAATCATAAACCTTTTTACATTTTGCCAATTGACTCCATCTGGCCAATTTTGGCTGGAATTCCATGACTTGGACAACTTTTAATAATATTTAGATATGTTTTTCGATTTTTTTTCCTTTCTTCTTCCTCTTTTTGCCGATGATTGGTCACCAGCCCTAGGCGATGGCTGGCCATCGACCATGGCCAAGCAGGCTAGCCTCGCTTGGGTGAGGATCGTCGTTGCCGCCACAAGCGAGGCCTGGTTGGGCGAGGGCGAGCCTCAGTGAGGGCTCCTCTCGCCAAATCTAGCAAGGTCGACCCTCGCCTAGGCCAAGGGCGTCGCCTTCGCCTGGGGGACGCTCGGCGAGGCTGCCCTAGCTTGGGCGAGGGCTGGCCTCTCTCCATCTGGTGAAGGGAGCCATCGCTGGGGCTCGCCCTTGCTTAGGCTAGATTTGGCGAGGGCTAGCCTCGCCAGATCTAGCGAGAGGAGCTCTCACCTGGCTGGGTCTTGCCTATGGTGAGCGACGACGACCTAGGCCAACGTGCCCGGCCATTGCCCGTGGTCGTTGGCTAGTCACCAGTAAAAGGAAGAAGAATAGAAAAAAAAGGAAAGAAAAAATAATTTAGAAAAAAATCTGAAAAAATAATAAAACAATCGAAAAATATTATTAAATATTGTTCATCTCAGTACCAGTTGTGCCATGTAAGATGGCCGGTGTCAACGTTAGCAAATGCCGGCCAAAATTGGCCGAATGGACTCAATTGACAAATTGGCAAAATGTTTAGGATTCAATTGACAAGATTGAAAGGTTTAGGACTGAATTGGTAAAAGTATCTTGGCCGAATGGATTCAGTTAACAAATTTTGACAAAAATGTAATATATTTAAGATTTTTGGACAATTTTCTTCCTCACTTTAACCGTAATTAATTTCTCTCTCCTCCATGTACCTACTACCAATAGCCACTATCCCATCTCGCACACCACTCACACCTCTCTCTCTCTCTCTCTCTCTCTCTCCGGAGAGATGCATGACTAGTGGCTTCCTCGTTGCCTCTACCCATAGACAACTCACGCCTTTCGGTGATGCTGCCATCCCATGCCGTCTTTATCTTCAAGGAAGCTAACTTAGAGAATTTGGTCAAAGGACACAGGTTGCGATCGATATTCAAGATGCAGGTCAAGACCAGATCTCTGGTATTTGAGAAGGTGCGAAAGACCATTTGCAATAGTAGTGCAGAAACCATATGAAGTTCAGATGGGTCCTAACCAACTGTGCACTTTCTTGACGTTGCTGTGACGACCTTATCCATTTTCTAAGTATGTCTTGAGCGAAGCCAAGAAAGTGTTGACACAAAACTTGACCAATTTTGGTAATTATTGACAAGTACCAAATGAGTCGATAGATACAGTTTGGTTAGAAAAATCAACAACTTGAAGAGAATTGACAACACTCCAATAAAGTTATCGACAACCAACCTTCACCTGGGATGAAGTTGTCGACACTGGCATGTAACTGCCAAGTAGAGATATTTTCGGATATGTAACTTCCTATAGATAAGTGTTGCTTAGTAATGGGATATCGCAAAGCAGCTTTTTGTAACCATGGATAGGTTAAAGAAATTATTTATTTTTTCAAATTGAGTAACCATTGTATGTAATTGCCATATGTAAATGTTGGTAGATGGTTATATGTATAGCTTGTTTATCCGCCGAATCAATAATAGAATTCAATAGTTTTTTACTGATTTACGTTACCATTTACTTTTTTACAATTTATATCGCTGACGACAATTGTTCAAAGTGTTGTACTTTTAAATTCTTTGTCGTTTACTTTCCTATGCAAAATCAACAAAAGACCCTTCACAACCTTTGTCGACTCACATTAATACATCCTTATTCTTGAAGGATATTTCATCATCATTTTTGGTTTAACATCTTTTTGGCAGGCCTGGTGGGACACATTTTGTTGATTCGAGGATATTACGATGGCAAGCACCAGAAATTAACACGAGTTTGAAAATGATGCTGGCAACAACAATCCATTACCACAAATTGGTAATGAGACGGCTGCGCATTATGATACTTTTGCTGCTGGGAGAGTAGGAGAAAATAATTGACATAAGGAAGTTGATCTTCCGATGCATCACACCGAAGAGAAAATATGTTGCTCTAACTGTCAACATGGTGTCAACCATGAGAAGATTGTTCAAAGAGTAGCATAATGATATGGCCAACTACATTGTGAGTCACAAGTCAGACGTGATCAAGTTGATCGTCATCAATACTATGAATGATGTCCTATTGAGGCCAAGATCGTCCAACGGGTATGTTCCTAGTCTGCCATTTATTGATGCTAATAATGTTGGTCAAAGTAGTCAACCCATCTTAAAAATAATGTAAAGGCCTTAATCTTCTAATCAAGGTCAAAATAATGGGTATAATCAGGCTAATGTTGTTCAAAATAACCAAATTGCTAACAATAATTTAGCAAATCAAATTGATCAACAAGTCGGTCAACTGTCAAATGTTGAGACTTTAAGGCTAGTGGCTTTATTGGTACCACTCAATATGAATATTCCCGTAAGGCTCAACATGACGATTAACGTAGATAATCTGGTAAGACCATTATCACTGCCTAGGGGACAAGATGGCCAATCAAATCCGCACTTGAACCTGCATATTCTGTTGAATAAGTTTGAGAGCAATTAGGGTTAGAGATGGGTGTTATCATACCGTTTGAAGGAAACCACATCCTGGATGGATTGATAACTAGCCTTTTCGAAGAGGCTTCAAAATACCTGACTTTGCCAATTTTTCTAGTGAAGATGAACAATGGACCATTGAACACATTATTTGATTTATAGCCTAGTGTGCAGAAGAAGGGATAAATGAGTTCTAAGACTTTGGTTCCTCTTGTCTTTGTCGAAAACTGCTTTCACTTGGTACACTAATGTATCACCTAAGTTTCTTGGCAACTGGGCTGAGATGGAAAGACAATTCAATTCTCAATTTTATAGAACGATACCTGAAGTATCGATCGCTGATTTGGCTAGATTTTATCAATATAATTGTGAGTCGGTTGATCAATTTATTGCTCAGTTATAGAGGGCTAAAAATAGATGCCTCACCTCGCTCTCACATAAAGAATTTACGAATTTCAATTGGTTAAAATTTAACATGTGAGAAAGATTTGAAGGCCAAGACTTTATCGATTTCTTTTAATTGGCAACGAGAGTGTTTAAGTATGAGCAGTTGCGAAAGATAGAGATAATTAGCCACGTGAAAACTTTATACGAAATGTGAATTTAATGGAAAGGTATGAGTCAGATAATGAATCCAACTAAGTGTAAATAATGAAACAGTTGTGGCGAAAATCGTGCTCAACAAGCGTTATCTTCGTCGATCCTTAAAGTTTGCCAAAATATAAGAAACAACCATGGCTATGGCTAAAGACACTAAGTTGACTCATTTGCTATTAATAAATCGGATGAAATCTTCAGCTTACTTTTGAAAGACGGCCTAATTAGATTAACCGAAGGCCAACTAATTCTAAATAAAGAAGATTTAATAAACAAAAAAAATTACAAGTGACACCAATCATGGAGTCATAACACAATTAATCGTAATATTTTTAGGAAAACAATTCAGGAGGCAATTTGGCAGGTAAAAATTAAATTTGCCGATGACAAGGGGCATACAATGATTTTTGATTATCTAATTTATAAGAGTCGAATCATCGATGAATCATTCAATTCTTTTAAAGGGAGCATTTATTGATACCAAAAAATGACCAACTTTTGGTAAATATCGAAAAGTAACATGCCGAGTCGATAAAGACAGTTTGGTTAGAATAGTCGACAACTTGGAGAGAATCGACAACTCTTTAATAAAGTTATCGACAACAAACATCAATCATCGACAAGAACCATTATTGGGGATGAAATTGTCAACACCAGCATGTAACTGCCAAGTAGCGATATTTTCGGATATGTAACTTCTTGTTAGTAAGTGTTGCTTAATAATAGGAGATCAATTTCTTGTAACCACATATAGGATTAAGAAGTTATTTGTTCTTTCAAATTCAACCATTGTATGTAATAGCCATATGTTACCGTTGGTAGAGGGTGATAAATATGCCAAGTGTATTCATTGTCATTTACTTTCTTACACAAAATCAACAAAGAACCCTTAACAACCTTTGTCAATTCACATTGATCCATCCATATTCTCGAATGATATTTCAACATCATTTTTGGCGAAACAGAAAGATAACCCACCAAAGAGACGGCGAGGTAACAATGAGTTGAATCTAGAAATGGTCGAAATTGGAAGCCCAAGAAGCAAGAGAGCGATGAGATGGATACTTGGCAATGTCGAAGAAGATGAGTGACTTCGGGTATCACGCAATCGTAAGAAGTGATAGATAATGCGATGGTAGAGATCGATTTAGAGGTAGTTTTTTGTACATCTTTTTGCAACAGTTTAGATTTGTAAAAATGGGCATTGCGGCTTTTATAAGATATTTGGCAAATACCTCATAACTGTAACACTTGCAAACTAGTCCTAAGGTGCTGCAGTTTAAAAAATGTGTTTACAAATACTGAGTTACATTACTCATTATACAATTACAACGTAGCATAGGTATAATTCTACCAGAGTTATATCAAACATGCTCTTAGTTCTAATGTTATCAAGCCAAGTTCTTGATTGTGATAGTAAATTCCAAAAGATGGAGATTGATAGTGCAAAGACATGATGTTGCCATGTGCAAGCTTTTTCGATCATATGTCGGATTTCGATGACTCCAAGTACAAGATAGAATGAGCATGTGCAAAATGCAAAGGGAAATTATATAGACTCCATGTCTTTATGGCGTTGATTTTCCATATAGTTAGGGTTTGATAACTTTAGAGAAATTTATTATGAGAACCCAAACCTAACCCCAATCTCCTCTCTCGCTCCCCCTCTGCCTTTGCCACCACCTAGTGCCCCTTCGGTGCATCCGTCATCAATCGTTCTTCATCTCCTTGCATCCACACTTCCATCACTTCTCCCCCCCCCTCTCTCTCTCTCTCTCTCTCTCTCTCTCTCTCTCTCATGCGCGCACATGCACACACACTCTCAACGAAGACAAAGGGGAGTGGGATTTGCGCATTGGTCGATAGCATTTTCGTTCATTAGATTTTGCTACTAAAATTCCTTGTTCTACTCTTGAAGAAAACTTTGGCTCAAACGTAATTGGAGGTCAGTTGTTGTAATCAGATACTCTCCCAAACTTTCCAAATTCTTCATCCCCTCTCTCAAAGTCGCCCTTTACTTTCCCCACTTTTTTCCCGTCACTCTCCCTTCCGTCTCCAAACCATCCATCCCCGTTCTCTTCTTTTGTTAAGCACCCAAGCACGAGTGCGCCTCATGCCTGCATATGCATTTAAAAAATGAATAACCCGTCAAATTTTCTCAATTGGTCAAATCACATTGTACATGTGGTCGGTCGAATTTCTTTCTGTGCGTCAAATTAAGTCCGCGTGTCCGATTCGACGAACGCGTGATGCCCGATGAGTGTAAAACTAGCCAATTGGGGTGGGGATGAATTTTATATCGTGGGACAGCGGAGAACGACACCAACGTTGGTCCCAAGTAGCGACAAAAGATGATTGAACTCATTCACATCACCACTTCCCCCTCGGCACGCGAGCAGAAGATGAGGCTGTGGTTTTGCAAGTTGGATGTCACAAAGAAAACGAGGAAAATCTTCTTCTGGGCACACTTCCAATTCAGTGCGATTTGATGATCCGAATCAGCTCATGAGAGCCCCACTTGGAAAAAAAAAATATGATAGGAATAATAATACAAATAGTTCATGAATTTTAACTCAATTTGTAATGTGTCCCTAAACTTTTAATTTATTCAATGTGGTTTCCGAACTTTAGCCTAATATATAATATGGTCCTTGAACTTTTAATTTGTTCAATACGATTCCTGAACTTTTGGTACATGCTTAAACTAGTCCCTGAATTATATAAATATATTCAATATTGTCCATGAACTTAACTTAATGGAAGGACAACATTGAAATAGTCCAATGACTAATTTGGACATGTACCAAAAATTCAGCAATCACATTAAACAAATTAAAAGTTCAGGGATCACGTTGCACATTGGGTTGAAGTTTAGGGACTATATTGAACAAATTAAAAGTTTAGGGATCACATTGTACATATGATCAAAGTTTCATTTGTGTCATTTTTCCAATATAATAATGTGGAATGGAGATCTCTAGCCTTATGGATGACCATGGGTATTTGATCCTCGGACCAATGATTGAACTAGTTGCTTCGTTTCCAAGATTTGATTTGATTGGTCATCCACCGGTGCTCAATAGTGCTCACATGGGTCGTCTCCGTGATGCTTGAATAGCTTCGTCTATTCTAACGGAAGATATCTTGAGCTGGATCATCACTTCTAATTGAATCGAGAAGAGAGTTCCTTCAATTAGGGTAGTAACTATGATTAGTGTGAGAGACGATCACATTATTAATTTGTAGTAAATTAAGAATGTATGGTGTTGTTCTCTAACAGCATAAGTTTTTGAAGTATCGATTATTCCATCGGTTTGGTGATCGATGTTACGTGATTTTGAGAGATCAACTCTATACAT